CGTCTACAACGGCTTTGTGCGACCCACACTCGAGTATTGCCCCTTAGTGTGGATGGGCTCACCCTCGTCCCATATTAAGAAGCTGGACCAGATCCAGCGAAGGGCCCTCCACATCATCGGAGCAGGTACTTGGCTCCCTAGCCTGGCACTCCGTCGCCTGGTAGCTGCACTTGCCTATACCTACAAGCTCTGCTATCTAGATGCATCCAGCCCTCTGAAGCAGATGCTGCCTAAACCAGCCACTCACCGTGCCCCCGAGACAAGACCTACCCGTCAGTCTCTCCAGCTGCAGGATTCCCATCCATACCAGATGACAACTGGCCTGCCTGCCAACACCCGGAATAGCTGTCTCCAAGGATTCCCTGCTTGCACCGTTGCAACATGGAATGCCCTGCCACCAGACCTGTTCCACCGCCCACCCGCCCAGCCCCACATGCAAAGCTTTAAGAAAAAGGTGTACCGTCACCTTCTTGCTCAGGACTGGCTCTCTGCTACTGATGCACTTTGAATCTGCTCGCCAACGCTTTCCCTGTTCTTATTAGTGTTCAGCTGCTTACCTTATAACCCTGCTGCCATCATCACCAATATTCTGATTCTCATGCACATGTCCCAGAACCTGCTATCCTTCGCAGTCCCCATCACCAAGAGCACTGTGCTCTTCTATCTCCCAGCTCTCTCTCTCTCTCTCTCTCTATCTCTCTCTCTCTCTCTCTCTCTCTCTCTCTCTCTCTCTCTTTCTTCTCTTCTTCTCCCCCCCCCCATCTCCCGATAATTATTAGCCCCCGTTTTCTTTCGACGCGTTTGCTGTGCAGTGAAGCCGAGACCCTAGGTCGGTGGAGCGCATCAGACCCCGTCACCACGTCCACGATTCATGCCTGCGATGCTGCACCGCTGCTTTGCATGTCATGATTGGAAGCTGTGGCCTTAGTAAAAAAAAAAAAAAAAAAAATGTGTGGAAAGTCCACCTCCTGCAGTAAAGTGGCCTTGGCCAGAAGTTTGCAGCCAGCAGGGTATGCAGGGAGCTGGCATCCACAATAACGGCACAAGCGCTCTTGAAGACATGCAGCCGCTAGCATTGACATGCATGCTACAGGTATGGAGCACTACTGGTGTGTCGGAGCTGACGGCACTGCTACGCAAATCAACCAGCTCGAAAAGAATAAGGAAAGACAATAGTACCGAGACTAGGACAAACGTGACAACTAATGAGCAGGCGCTGCACCGAGACGCAGCAGTGATGGTGGGGCATTGATGACTCTGCCGACCTTAGGTCTCGGCGTCACGGCCAAAAACACGCACCAAAAACAATGAAAAAAGAAGAAGATAGAGCTGTACAGGTAAGAAAGATGCAAAAACCCAAGGCTTAATTAACACGAGCGATTGTGGGGGAGAAACTGTCTTAGCGTCATACTATTCATAGGGAATCGACTGCCCAGAGCCAGTTTGTGCTGCGAAGATGTTGCGAATTGTTTTGTTCATGACTTCGCACTGCCCATCAGAACGAGCGATCATCCGTGGAAGTAACCGTCCGTGTGTGTGAACCCGTTTTCTCGGATGACAATCTGAAGCTTAACTCTTTCACCGCGGATGACGTACATGTACGTCATCCTAGATGACGTCCAGGCTCTGATGACGTACATGTACGTCATGGTATAAATACCCGGTTTTAGTCTTCTACTAACGTGCGTAGTCACTGCTGGTCAGTTGGTACAGTCCCTGCCTCATGTACGACAGGCTGCGGGTACGGATCCCGCTTGGTTACGTTCTGCGTCTCTTTTTTTCCCTTTTTTCGTCTGGTTTTTCAACTGCAATTGCCGACTTTGCCGCATTTTAGGCAAATTCAGCAAACTTACGTGTCCTATACAGCTTTGTACCTCTTTTGGGGGAACTTATCGAGTTTGTCAGTGTGATGTTGGTAGCGTTGGCCTTCATTTCCCAAAAGTTCACCGACCCAGTTGCCTGAACCATAACGTAGTGGAGTTGGCCATCGGCCCTATTTTTCGGATTTTTTCCAGAGCCTGTGTGCACAACCCTGCAGCTGTGAAAGGGTTAACGTGGCAAAACTCAATACTTCACTGTGACCAAGGAAGATGATTCCTGGAAATCGGTGAAGCTGCTGGGACGTATTCTAGGCACAGTAGAAGACATAGCAGCCAGAGTGTCTGCTGCCAATCGGGCATTTGCCTGTCAAAGCCCACCAATGCAGCCTACATACAGCCGGAAGCGGGCAAGTGTCAGCATTCCATGGAAACGCCACAACCTGAATTCTAGGCTGTGTATGTTTTCCTGCCTGATATTGCCGATCTTGCTGTACAATTGTGCGCTTTGGACCCTATCGCAAACGTTAGCCGACGTCGCCAATGTATGGCAGCGGAGGAAACTACGTACCATCATTGGTATCACATAACCACAACGAATCTCTAACACAGCGCTGTATGCCAGAACCGAGCAGACCCGACTATCCCAAGTCTGCAGGCACCGGAGACTGCTGTGGTTCGGCCATGTAGTGAGGGAAGGTGCAGAATCATCCTCTTTCCAATCCCTCCAAATGTCAATCAACACAACAGACATACGACGACCCCGCGGACGACCACGTCGGAGATGGATTGACATCGTCAAGAAGGACTTACAATGCATTCATCTCTCGCTTCTGGATGCTGAGCAATGTGCTTCTGATAGGGCTGAGTGGCTCGAAAGTGTCAACAAATTCGTTGACCTCCTGCAATTAGTGATATGCGAACTGGCATTATTATTATTATTATTATTATTATTTGTAAGAAAGGTTTGCTCCCCACACCGGAGCTCGCGCTATTCCGCCGACTTTACTTGACACTTGACTGACTCACGACTCCCATCCAGAGCACACGAGAAGTCCATCGAACCTTCGACTCGGCAAACCTGCAAGAAAGCACCACTCCCTGCTCAATACACAGTGTTTCGGGGAATTCACCCCTCATCAGTTGAGCTTGAGTAGGCTGAGGAAGATTGTGCCTGAAGAGCACCACTTATATAGTGCTCTCCAGGCACAAACATCACCAGGAATACAAACTTACAGAGACGCTCCGTTTCCAGCACGACAAACACCTCGTGAACACCAGATAGCAGCGTGAGTCAGTGTCGCTTCTGGACAAGTAAAGTCGGCGGAATAGCGCGAGCTCCGGTGTGGGGAGCAGACCTTTCTTACAAATTAGTATCGCCGAAGTCGCAACCACTACTTCGTATTATTATTATTATTATTATTTAAACATATGGTGAGGAGACAATAATTTGATAACCGCAATCAATAAAACTAGCTGAACCGACATTTGTGTACTTTATTCAGGCAATGTAAAAACGGTGGAGACGATGTGGAATAAAACGATGAAAATATGAAGAAATGGTGTAGGGAAAAAATATGGATTCAAACAAGTTTTCGTACAACACTCATCAGGAATCGTCGTTGTACTAAAGGACATTGAAACAAAAATTGAACTATTATAGAAAATCTAAGTTAGAGAAATAACACTAAGAGCAACCGCAGTGAAATTTACAAGCGTGAATTTTAACAGTCAAAGCGAGAAATGAACAAAGGAGAAAGGAAGGAAAGACAACGTGATAACACATAACAGCAGTACATTACACCTAGAACATTAACGGCCTAGCTTGGCCGCACTAAACACGACACGTTACTTGAACAATTTCAGATGAGATAGAGAGAGTACGGAGGAAGCGGAGGATTGAACGGACGGCGGAGGGAGCAGTGAGTCGGAGAGCAGTGGTGGGAGTGATGGTGAGAGTGCCGGTGAGAGTGTTAGTGTTGTGCGTAGGTTTCATGGTAGCAAGTCTTCAGTGTACAATCATCTGCTAGCTCGTCCTGATTGTTGCAATTCGTATTCCGACTCTTCGTTCACTGTATTGTGCCGTGGTCGTCATGGCTATGGACTACAGTTAAAAGTGTTGGAAGCTATCTATCAGCGTCTGTATAAGCCTTATTTGTGTGTACAGAAAGATAGTATAATAGGGTTGAAATTGTTCAAGTAATGTGTCGCGTTTAGTGCGGCCAAGCTTGGCCGTTAATGTTCCAGGTGTAATGTACTGCTGTTATGTGTTATCACGTTGTCTTTCCTTCCTTTCTCCTTTGTTCATTTCTCGCTTTGATTGTTAAAATTCACACTTGTAAATTTCACTGCTGTTGCTCTTAGTGTTATTTCTCTAACTTAGATTTTCTATAATAGTTCAATTTTTGTTTCAGTGTCCTTTAGTACAACGACGATTCCTGATGAGTGTTGTACGAAAACTTGTTTGAATCCATATTTTTCCCTACACCATTTCTTCATATTTTCATCGTTTTATTGCACACCGTCTCCACCGTTTTTACATTGCATGAATAAAGTACACAAATGTCGGTTCAACTAGTTTTATTGATTGCGGTTATCAAATTATTATTATTATTCGCAGTTTTTTTTCAGCGTGCTTGGGGATTTCCCTTTCCCACTACGCATGTATGATGGACATCAAATGAACCGCTTGGATCTCAGCTTTGCAGTGCAGTTCGAATAATGAAAACCGGTTGAATTTGGGCAAGATCCCGAACAAGAACGTGAAATTCAGTTGCTGTGCCGTTCCCAGGCACGGTGGAGTAGTTTGGAGAGAAGGTGAAAGTGGCCAAGGTGTGTATATGTCTCTTAGATCTACAATGATAGATTTGCTTGCGCCTGATCTTTCCAACGAGTCCAGGATGATGAAAACCCATCAAGGTGGAGTGAAATGAAAATAAATTTCGTTCAGAGCTGTGCGCGCAACCTACATGTACACGAAGAGAGTCAGTGCGCTGGACAGCTGGCCGGTAGGAGAAAAGGGGCCCGGCATGGAAAGGGTTAAAGTAGCCATGACAAGAAATGTATTGTTGCGCCCATACTGCTAATATCTCTACATCCAAATAACAGTTATGATACTTCTACAGTGGCCAACCAAGGATTCTGGAATACAATCATTAATTGTAAGGGAAAAATATGCCGTACCAGAACATGTCAATGTGCTCCAGGTTCCATCAGCAGTGCAAGTGATGTTGTCATTACCACTATGTCCAGTGTTGCACTGTACATATACACTGTCACCGTATGCATAGGATGCTGAAGGGTCAGACATGACCACTCCATTGTTGGTGTTCGGTGGGCCAGGGCATGGTCGAGCTGCACACCAAAACACAGAATCATGAAGGAGAATGTAACGATCCATGTCACCTAAAAGTACAGGTTGCTGATGCTCGTGACTGGCTCTACTGACTCTAAAGACAGCCTTCCTCCTGCATCACTAAATTGAAAACCCCTGCTTATCTGCCCTGGTTGGCTGACACTCACTCTCTTCACATTGGGCGGGGTTCCATATTTGCATTGAGGTGCTCCCAGAAATACATAACATGCAGCAGAACTCACTTAGTATGTATCTAGGTAGGATGTACACCTGCTTTGTACCGTCCTTTTTATCGCATGGAAAGAGGCGTAAATGATCATATCCATTCCCAAAGGGAACTCACGACAGCTGCTAACTCCCTGTCAACCTTAGGGGTAGATGCAGTGTCTAATGGTGTGGTGAGGGATGGTCATCTTGGCTATGAGCATTCTTCCTGGTAAGTAGATTCTCTTGCTTGACTTTCACAATCTTTTGCAGGAAACCTGTATTTCGCGTAGAAAGAAACAGGGAAAGGTATGGCCATATTTGGTACTAACGTTGGCAGATGGGTGGCTGTGAGGACCATAGTCCAGTCAGGAGGCATGTAGATACGGCGTCACCTGACAAGACGTAGCCAGGATTGCAACTGTAATTAGCCTTTGCGAGATAATCATTGCCCGTTGCTCTTACAGTGCCATACATGGGATCCATCAGTACAGCACATGTGACCCCTGGACAGTAAAGAGGTGCACAGCATGCAGTTTTGGCAAACAAGGATCAACAAAAACTAACCACTTGACAAGTATGCACTGGTTTTAGCAAACATGCTACTGTTAAACAAGTAATTGTTGTTACGCTACTGTTGTCATAGCAGTATCTAGTATTGCACTTTAGTAGAAGAATTACCTTGGAATCTAGGAAAACAAACAATTACATAGAATAATGATTTGATCGGAGTTGTGGGAGAAGTTTCGAGAGACAGAAAGGGAAGTGAACTGCCAGGAAAGCCATAGAAGGTAGCCACTCTCGATTTCCAAACTGGGAATTCTTTTCGCACGAGCAATTATGTAATCAAGCCAGGAGCCGGTTCCTGAGGGTTGGTACAGCCCCGAGTCGGCCACAGGATCGATTATTTCCCCATTTCCAAAATCAAATACCTGGGAGGGTGCGTCTCTCGTAATCCCATCATGTGTCGCACAGCCATTTGGAGGTCCATGTTTTAAGATTTCAGCGTGTTGACTTCAGTTGCAAGTCACACTTGGTGATTTGCATCCCCTTGTTTGTCATTGTGATTTGTAGCATTAGGGAACAACGACTACAGTGCTGGGTGCAACGAGAGAGCTTGAAAGCTCCGGGCCCTCGCTATGCTGTTTTGCATAGGTCATGTTATTCAAACTGTTGGAAACGTTTTTGCAACACGATTATCGGCTCATTGTATTGCGAAAAAAAATTCCATCAGTTCATCTTCGTCCATACCATTTACATACGCAATTAAATCGCCACTTATATACATTCGTAAAATGGCGATAAATAAGAAATAATTGTGCACTCATAACAACAGCAAAAAATGAAGAAAGTTAAGTTCCATAACGTTTTCTTGTGATTGTCATCAGTGGAACGCCGTCACATAAAAATGTAATAACTAAAACACACACATTGTGTACATGTAGCTAATATGGTTTCAGGTAGAAATACAACAGCCAGGAAGTACAAAAAGCGAAGTTTGCACCTTTGCTGTGTGAATATAGTGTATGTGAGAAAGGTAGTGACCGATGAATGTGATACTGTGTGAATGAATGACCTAAGTCGACAACTCCAAAGACAATCGACTTTGTGTGGAAACAAAGTTCATAGACATCACTGACTCCATTGGTCACGATCCATTCAGGGCCGAGGGAAGGATCGCTCCCACAAGAGCTGCCGGATGCGTCCGTAAGTGCATGTCGTGTGGCACTGCAACCACCCACGTGTGGATTTTTTCGATAATTTACCAAGTAGTTGACATGATCGAAAGGGGTGTACACACTGTCGTATTCACGGGAACAAACAAACGCTCAGCGCGTACCGCCCTAGACCCTACACAGGGTGCATGATCAATGTCACGGGACCATCAGAATGTTATGGATTTGCAGAGCGAGGTACAAGACTGTATAGTGTTTGTAGAGGCAACCATGAACAACAAGATGAGTTAGTTTGTCAGTCTGAGTACCAAAATCGGGCAACAATGGCATGACAGTAAATGTTGTCAATCGTGCAAAATGCCAGAAGATTTCCGGCCACGCATAATCGGGGTGTAACAGATTTCGACGTCTGCAGCCATTGGACACACAAGGTGGAACAATTGGCCGGCCGGACGAGACAAATGTTTTTTCACGGGAGGGGCCTACCAGGCATGGTTCCGGAATAAATTCAGGCAAAAGTCGACTACTAAAAGTCTTGCTGATTTCAAACTTGTGTTCCTGAGGTGCCCATCCACCTCACTCACGTCAGATTATTAGTAGTAGTATTCACACTTTTCTACCGAATGAGCACGCGGCTAAGCAGTACAGCTACAGGGATCCAGCATATGTTCTCTTAGCATAAAAGCAAGCAAAGAATAAGGAGTCAATGGGCAATGGAAACAGTTTCAAAGTGTTGCCAGGGATTGTATGAGTGCAAACAGGTATGACAATAGTCATGGGCTATTGCAGCAGCGGACAGCACAACAGACAGCAACCGCAGGGGGGCGTGCGATGTTGACCAAGATTGGAATGCAGTACTGTCCAGGTTTCCTTCATCCAGAGAGCAAGACTAGGGTTCTTCAACACGTTCATTTTCAGTGTACGTTCCAGATCGAGCGACAACTAAAGCGGCAGGTAGTGCATAGTCCTCACTCGGTCGCAGGAGTCTGCAATGCGCGAGTTGAAGTAACATGAACTCCATTGTTGTAACGCCAAACCAATTCATGGAAGCTTAGCCACCACTTTGATTGTGTAAGGTGTGCAAGACACCCCAGTCAGGTGCCAGGCCAAGTCAACTGGTTAAAGCTTTACGTATCTTGATCTCTCCTGTACATGCCGTCCTTATGTGTTCGGTGTTGAATCTTAACGAAGCATTGATTTATTTTTTCCTCTTGCTGTCCTCTGATGCTTTATAGCGCTTTCAGTACCAAGCCAGTACCTAGGCCGTGGAACGGACACCGGATCACCCACGACTGAACATGATGCAAGCGATTGGGAACGGCCTTGTGTGATGTATAAATGGGTAACCCGGCATGCCATTATTTAGTGTGTACGTGAGTGATGACGGAGTGAGTAAGAAGCCCGATGGGCAGTGATGACACATGATTGCATATGGTTTGATGCCATAATCACGGAGAAGCCCGATAGGCAGTGAGGATACCAGATTGTGTATGGCTTGATGCCATGATGAGAGAGAAGCCCGATGGGCAGTGATGACACATGATTGTGTATGGCTTGATGCCATGATGAGGGGGAGGGAGAAGCCTGATGGGCAGTGATGAGTATGGCTTGGTGCCATGATGAGGGAGAAGCCCGATGGGCAGTGATGACACATGGTTGTGTATGACTTGATGTCATGATGAGGGAAAGCCCGATGGGCAGTGATGGCACATGGTTGTGCATGGCTGGATCCCATGATGAGAGAGAAACCCGATGGGCAGTGATGACACATGATGGTGTATGACTTGACGAAAGATCATGTGGTTATGAATGATTACAGAAAGAGAGAGAGAGAGAGAGAGAGAGAGATAGAGAGAGCGCAACTGGACGAATGAGACTCCTGCACAGATAAGTCCAGTCTTTGATGTGGCGAGACGACTGCATAGTTGCGTTGCAATGGCCATAGGATGAGGTTTTACATGTAAACCTTGCCCCCTAACTGCCAGTTACATAGAGGTATGTGTGTTTTTTATGTCTCGGTACCTGCTTTTAACCCGTTTTTTCGTTGTGGCACGCGGAGGAGTGTACGTACGCGGGCAGTACGTGTGTGTACAGTGAGCGTGTGTACAGTGAGTGTGTGTGTACAGTGAGTGTGCGTCCAGTGAGTGTGCGTCGAGTACGTGTGTGTACGGTGAGTGTGCGTAAGGGTGCATGTGTGTGCAGTAAGTGTGTGTAAGGGTGCGGACGTGTGCATTCGATACAGCATTCCTTCTCTTGCAGGAACTGAACAGACGTCCAGCCCAATCAGGGAAGTACAGCACCTCACATTAAATTTACTGGCAGTACTACTCCATGATGTAGCACTCACCACCAAGCAGGGGAACATTCGGGCATTTCGCAGAGATTTTGTCTGCTCTGATTGCACTGCTGATCATGTGATCCTGGCTGATTTGTGCTCGCCCGGTTACTGCCTGACCCAACCTGGCCAGCTGGTGATCATCCCAGGGCAAGTCTGGCCGGGTCTCCATAATGGTCATAGTAACTATACACTTGACCACAGATGGTGGTCACAGTGCCCCAGACTTTCGCACACTGCTCATTTTTCCTTGTCCAAGTCTATTTGTGCCGCTCTCCTGTCAGCCTCACTATCCTTTACATCGTGAGTGTGATTGTTGTGGTAGACCACTACCCCATGTACTGAACAGTTGCTTTGTGAGTGAAAAGTTTTGTTTTTTTCACGGCTGAGCGTAGCGAAAGAGTGCAAAAAACGTATTTTTAACTCACAAATATTTTCATGCGTATGCTCTTGTTCTGCGCAACTCCGTTGAACCTGCCATTGTGGTCTTTGTTTTTCCTCGTGGTAGTTGAAGTTGCCCGCCCACCCACCATGGTTTCATGAGGGTCTTCCCCTGCTCTTCTTGATATTGTATGCCAATGTGTGTGGCTTATGATTATGACATACACTGGTTATTACATACCATTTCTTGCTGTCTCTATTCTTGGGTCCGACTGGCAGCGGGGCAGGAATTAATGAAATAGAAAGGTTTTTTGGCCGAAAGGCGTGTTTTTCCCGATTGAGCGGTCGCGGCTAGGAATGCGGGGAATCATTGTTTTCAGGCGCTCCCCTGCTGCCCAGTCACGAATGCTTACCACTGGCCATGCTGTTTCACTCGATTATACGGCCTTTTCTCCCGCTTGCTGCCGGTTCTGTGATCGATTTATATGTTTTTCTGCTAATTTATCTATTACCGTATTTCCGCGCATATAAAGCCATGGCGTTATATCCGAATATAAGGCCACCCTCACTTATAATGCCATGGCGTTATAAGTGAACAAAATTCAATGTGGAGGAAGTAGTGCAACGTAGCTGGTGTCCGTCTCAGCGTAAAGGATGGCTTCACCCTCACCAGTAAACTTATCTGAGCACAAAAGAACCTCACCATGAAAGCAAAATTGCATCTCACGAGCACTTATTTTGGTAGAAACCTTTCGAACTGAAAGCGCGCACATTTCCGTCAATTTTTGATCGCATGGACCTCAGCAAAGGAAAAATGGGACCAGGGCAGATCTTTTACGCTATCGCCTGTATCAAGTCTTGGTCATGTGAAGGTCACGTGATGTCCCAATGGGTTGATGCTTTCCGTCACAGCAGACATAGTTTTGCATGTAAGTCAAGTTGGTGGAATTCGACCGATTCTAAGTTTGTGTGACCGGTAAAGGGTAAAGTAGGTGACTCATGTCTTGAAGCTTGGGGACATTCAAGTTCACAAAACACACTGCTCTATGAATTTAGTCCCTCTCCCGAAGGCGCCATAGAGGAAGTCAATTGCTGATATGCACTTGTTACAGGAACTTACGGTCGCACCTGGGTGTGGCTGACCAGGTTCCATTCTCAGGGCAATTTATAGAAGAACTACCATTGAGATTGTAACCAATGTTACACGAGAAAGAAGCCGTTGCCCCGTAAGTAGTTCCAGTCATGAACACACCTCCATTAGCCGGTTTGGATACTGCACCACACACGCTTGCTGCAAAAGTAGTTCAATTCAACACAACACACAATCAATCAATAGTTGAAGAGCAAGTATAATTTTGGGGCGGACTTTCAACCCTACTACAATAATTTCTGGCCACACACTTCTCACAATTTGAGGACAATGGCACATGATATTGATGCCCTTTCTAAAGTATAACACACTGAATAGTTTGCTGTCCTCGTTACAGCTCGAATGCATAGAACCAAGTGACGTACACCTTTGACAATAAAGAGAATCATCGATGAATTTATTGGCTATAAAATAGGTAACCATGGGTAGCTCATTATAGGATACTCTCCTTGATATTATTCTCAGATGCAAATATATCAGCAAGGGACTTCCTTGTGTTTAGTGATTTGTTGTTGGTGATGACGGCATATCTCACCGTATTTTCAACCATTAGCAATGTTTACAGTAAATAAAATGGTCAACGACATACAATTCATGTCAACTAACACCACAAGTTATGTTCAAAAGGTGTCCAAACTCCCGGGCTCATATTTCTATTTTGGATATGATGAATCATGCTTCATATAGATCATAAACAAGCAAATCGGTTCCTACCTGAACAGTTCAACATGCTCCAAGTTCCATCTGCCAGGCAAGTGATGTTTCCATTACCACTATGTCCCATGCTACATTGGACAAACACACTGTCACCGTACGCATAGGATGCTGATGAGGCGGACATTACCACTCCATTGTGGATGGTTGGTGGGCTAGGGCATGGTCGAGCTGCAAGATTTGAGAATTGATAGCATTGAAAAATAACGCAGACGTGAAAAAGACATGCACATACACGATGAATCATCACGAACTTGAATCCGTTAAGTACGCTGTGAACATTATAATTATAGTTAGATTAAACTCGGATGGAGAGCCAAGGATAGGTAGGTCCAGTATTTCTGATCTGGATATTGCATGCCCGATTGGGGAGAGATTTTCTTCCCAAATTCAAATGAGGACTTAGCAACCATCCGGAATTATTGTTAATTTTTTAGAAACGAAAAGTATAGTTTTGCCCCCCCCCCCCTTCCCACCTACCCACCCTATGAAAGAAAAATTTTCATAACGAAACTCTCCTCATCTACGAAACTTTTTCTCTTCGTGAAAAAGATCCACAAATACGGATGTCCCCTTAGTCTTCTATTCTCGGAATAATGCTGGAAAGTAAGCGAGACTCTACATCTGTATCAAATTAGGAACACACGCTTCTTGCCAAGTCAAATTTCAAGTTCGGCAAGTAGTGTGTGTTCCTAGTTGGCACAATCAACATCATGACTATTACCGCCAAAGTCGCAACTTCGAAGTTCTACATCTGTATTTCAGTATTTTGTTTTATCTGACTTAGTGACTCTTCAATGACTTGCCGGAGTTATGCAGATTACACACCATGCAATGCATTTCACTAGCAATTATGGTGAAAAACCTATACAGCTCAACAGATATGGACATGTTGGGGGCATTCCCTATCTTGAATAAGTAAAAGTGTGAGGTCTGAAAGAATGTCGAGCGGTCTCTGATTGGATGAAGGCTACACCCAAGCTATGGGGTTAGAGCATAACTGGTTTATGATGAAGATCCCTTGTTTGTAATGATGATCAAAGTCGCATTTATAATAATAATTAGTTTAACCCTTTCAGCACCCTTAGTTGATGATTGTCTATAGTGCATTCAAAGACATCATGAAACTAACGTTGGCAGGTGGGTGGTGGCGACGACCATGAACCATTGAGAAGACAGTTTGTCGCTGATTGACCAGAGAGAACAAAGCCAACGCTGCATGTGTAGGTTGCTGTTGATTCGAAATCAGTTCTTGCCGCAACAACACGTCCATTTGTTGGGTTTGACAATGGGCCGCAGTTGACTCCTACACGATTATCGAAACAAAAATAGATTGTATTAATATGGCACGAAAAGAGGACAAACTTTGAGGTAACCAAAATACATAGTGTAAAACAGTGATGTCAAAATGGATTGATATAAATACAACTGACAATTCAACATAAAAGTTTTTACAAATCGAATGCAGCAAATCACTGGGTTTGGAAATTCTGCCATTTTTTCGTCTCGCAACGTCTCTTTGTTGCACAAAAGAAATGAATGAGTACGTTTGCCATTATTACGCCAATTGGGGGTCATCATTGCCTCGATGATCTCCAATTGGCGGGATATTGGCAAGCGGCTTCATTCATTCATTCTCTTGCTGCGCTGGAGCGGTTTTGCGGGGCAAAAGGTAGAGGTGTTCACGACTGTAGAATAGATTGTTCAAAGAGTGGAACCCATAACACATTGGTAAGGCATATGATGTATATGCAATCATTCAAAGACCAACAACACAAGGTTGATGTGTCAGCACTCGTATATCCACTCACTATTATTCGGGGGTATTATTACAAAGAGCCTGACGTGACGTGTTTCACAAATCGAACAATAGTGAGTGAAGACTGAATGCTTCTCGTAGCCGATTACTACAGGAAAAGCATTGTACCTTCTTAACTTATACTTTGCATTTTCCGGGTTTGAATTCACAAGTGGTATTTTAAGATTCGATGTGGAGTCATTCATCCCAAATATTTAATCCTATGCCACTATTTTAGAAATTCTTGATTTCGGTGGCAACCTAGTTTCGTATGCTTACGATCACAATGGGGAGCTGGAGGTGACCACATTCCACTGTGAGTACATGTAGCAGAAGAAGATCCGTTAAGGTTGTACCCAGCAGAGCATGTGTACAAAGCAGTGGAGTCAAAGGTATCGCCACTCATAAACACGATTCCATTTACTGGGTCTCCCAATGAGCCACAATTGCTTGCTGAATAACATAATTATTGTAAAAGAGAACACATAAAACGGTAAATAATCCCCGATTAGCAAACAAAGTTACCTCAATCAGACCTACTTTAAAATTTATCGGGAAGCTCCACTGGGATGAAAATAGAAAATCCTCCTCAATAGCCCTCGTGGCAAAATATATAACATGGATCAGAAGCAGACTGCGATGGAAAAGATTAAACCATGTTCGCCCTTCTACTAATTTGGGCTTTTATGGCTGAAAAGAGGCACTGTCCTATTGGTTTCAATGTCTAGCACTGTCCATGATCTATTCCCACTGATAACCCTCTCCTACGTTAGGTTTATAGTAAAGAAAAGACGGACCAAAAAACTGCATTTTATGCTTTAATGTCCAAAAATACCACCAGCTACTAAACAAGCAGCTCATGCTGAGCTCAGTCCATTCTCCTTAAGGTTTAGTCAAGAAAAAATTAAGACCAATGTATACTTTTGCGAGTTTTGGAAACAGAACATGACGGTGCAAATCATCTTACCAGAGCACATTAACTCTGTCCATGTTCCAGCTGATGTACAGTTGATGTTGCCACTACCACTATGTCCAGTGTTACATTGTACAAACACACTGTCACCATATACATAGGATTTTGTTGGGTTCGCCATTACAACAGCATTTGTGATGTTGGGTGGGCTAGGGCATGCTCGACCTGCAAAACCACAACAACAGCATAACAGAGCATCACTGAATGTTTGGGAATAGAGTGTGTTACTACAAAGCGATGAAGGCTGCAGATAGAGAAGGTTCTGCGATAAAACCTCGTATTTATAGTAATGCAAAGATTTGATAAAATTTTATGATATTGATCAGGCAGTGATAGTATAATATTAGACGTACGTGAACAAGTCACACTAGTCAATGACCAGGTTTTGTCTGCTTGACATGCGGTAACTCCATTAGTTCCAACGAGTTCAAATCCAGCGTCACAGCCGAACACAAGTATTGACCCAAGTGTCGTAACTCCGGTTGTGAGGAAGCCATTGTTTGGAGTAGGTGGAATACTGTTACAAATTATCTCTGTTGAGAAATGGAAAGTGGAGTCATCGGAAATGTTTGTTTTGCACTGTACGCTGTAGCATTCCCTTCACATATTCCCCACAGATGATACTTGTCTTCAGGTTATACTTTTGAAGCAGGGACCTACGTCTACAGCATTAGCATTCTAAGGGCCCGGTCCCAAATGCAGTGGCGGATTTGCTGTTGCGACAAGGTTTGGCGGGAGTGGTGTCGAACCTCTTCTGCGACAAAATGCTCGCGTGGTCTCATATGATCACGAGTGCACGGCGAACGAATCGAGCGCGCCTCTCTGACTTCAAAAAAAAACACTGCAGCTCTCCTGCAACTCAAGCATGTTTTCACTTCGAAGCACAATCAGGAGTGCACGTGTACTGATGGTGTACAGACTCAGGGCTGTGTCTGTGGACAGAACTGTTTCGTCCTTTGTGGACACATCAACGCAGCACTGATGCACTGATGATGTACATACTAGGTGTTGGAAAGATCATTGTTTTTTGTTGAGTATCAAGCATTAGCTACATGTCGCGGGTTCAGTATTGTTGACTTTGAGTCTTTGTTCTGTATAATCTGAAGGAATGGATTTTCCGTTGGGTAGAGGTCGATTGGCGAGACGTTGTCGACAGGCAATGGAGACCGCAGCAACATGTTTGTTGCTGAATGCTAGCACGAACTTGTGGAGCAACACGTCGACGATAACTGCTACAGATACTAGTATCGCTCTTCCCAGTCCTTCATGTACCTCATGCTTTCTTGACAGGGGTCCCTTGCATAGTTTTACATGATGGCCAGGCTTGGTTACTCAGGGGTCCGGGATTTGGTCTTTGGCCGACACCACAGTCGTCGGTTTCAGCTTCAGCTTCTCGGCTATCCACCGATACCACTCTGTATCTTTCTTCATTCGTTTGTCAAAACGAGTCTTGACTTCACCATACATTTAGAACTGCAGCAGTAGCTTCTTCCACTCAAATCAAGTGTCCACTTCATGATCGAAAATTAAATCGAACAACAAAAATTCCACTATGTCAGAGTGTCGCAGGAGCGGAACTTCCGCAGGAAAGTATACGCTCCAAATATTGTGGAGTTGCGGATTTGAACTTTCAATCACGGCGGAAGTCCCGCTCCTCGCAGTTTCCATGGAGATACATGCTGATACGACACCGCTGCAGGGGATCCGCAAGCCTTAAGTGCATGTGAGACCGGGCCCAAGGACTGTTTTGATATGGCCCAACTTCTGCGAAAACCAGGCTTAGGGTGAAAATCATTTTTTTGAGAAAAATGATGTTTTGTAAAAAGGTTGTGTCGCGTCGACGCTCGAGTGCAGTGAAGTGGAACCAAAGAGAATCTCGCTTGTTTGAAGAAGTAGCAGTCATGGCAGGAAGGGTTTCAGCAGTCAGGGAAGTCAAAGGGCTTCCGGTAGAATATTCCCTGCTACTCCTCTAGTCACAGCGAAGAGTTTTTGAGCTGATCGAACGGATTCCATCTCCTTCACTCAGGAATGGCGAAATTTCTGCGCTAGCTGCTGCTTGCGGAAAATGGTGAAGAAATCGTCTCCAGTTAGAGTCGTGATGGCGATAGCGAGGAGAACCTGGACGACATCGATCCAGCCAATCGAAGTATGGAGATACTAGCTGTTTCTGGGCCTCACGCAAAGGGAACACGCGCAGCAGAGCTCATACGTTTGCAGCAAGTTCACGAGGAAAAAGGCTTGAAGCGCAGTGTGAAAACTGTTTTGAATTGAAGTCCTTGGCGATGAAGTGCTACTGAATGCCAGGCGAATGAGCGAGCAGATTGAGAGGCCTCCACTCGAGACTTTCCTCGCTGGACAGCTAGCTGCCAGGGATTGTACGGCATGCCGAGATAATCGCGAGATTTCACTTGCTGGTCAGCACCAAGCAGACACTGCAGCACGCCAGCACACTATGCGCATACTATGAACAGTGGAACAGTTTGAAAGGCCGTGTTCTTTCTGGTTTCTGAACAATTGTACTAGATTTACCCTTCAAAAGGTGCCATCTCGACTGGAGTCGGGTTTCCTTGTGGTGTGTAGCGCCAGAGCATGCCAGTACATGTATTCAGGCCCAGAATGTGCTGAGTGAGGAGCAAACAAAACATGCAGAACTGTGCATGGCGGCTACAGACTGCAGCACCAAGACAGGCAAGAGGCCACAACAGGCCTGCCCCCACATGCCTACCTTGTCATGTCACCTAAACAAAAATCATCCATGTCTCTTCCTTCACTCTGGTGGATCTCTCTTCATTTCTTTCCTGTGATAACAATTTTGTTTTTTTTTTGGACTTTTTAACACAATACCCTGGTGTGTTTGAGATACTTTTAATACCACTATGAGTCGACCCACACCTGTAATATTTTGTTTCCTGAACTCCCATGCCCAGTAGAAGCTGAAAATGGGAAAAAGTCATTTTGTGAAATTTCACCCTAAGCCTGGTTTTCGCAGATTCTGGGCCATATAATGGACACAGGTATCTCTCTCTCGCTCTTTTCAGCCCAACATGATCTTCACATCCCAACACGGGCCATGGTATGAGTACAGTATATTGTACAATCATAAATATTAGGTTTCTTACCTTTCTCCCGGCTTTCTTTTACTCATGATCGAATGTATTATATAAACAAAATTTAATGTTTTGGACATATTTTTGCAAAGAAAGAAGGCCGCTGTCATGACAACAAAAAATAAGGGTCACGTGAGATTTGGATGGAAGCCGAGTTTTCCGCATCCGCAAGAATGCCACCACCGCCTTGGATCAAGGAGCAGATGCAGCTCCTGAGGCGTTGGGAGGTGAGCAGATCAGACAGACCACAAAGTGGTAAAAGACCGAAGATCCAATTCACTGCACCCATGTTTCCCTTGTGCCAGGCCTCGAGTTCCCAAGTAACTGTGGGTCGCAGCATGGGTGGAAAAATCCTGGAAAAATCCTACCGCTTCCAAGCAGAATTTGAACCTAGTACCCTCTGTTTCTCAAGCACAATCTTAGACCATCCCCCTATGCTTCTCATGACAGACGCAAGGGAAAGAGAACAACCACTGCATAGAACGTCATGCTTACCATTGCATGTTGGAGGTGACACTGACCAGTTTCCATTAGTTTGACATGCGGTAGATTTGGCACCTTGAAGTTCATAGCCTGGGCTGCATGAGTACTCTCGTATGCTGAAGAACACATTATCTCCATTTGATATATTGCCATTCATTGGAGGGGTGAGAGGGGCCAAGCATCTTATTTCTGAAGAAAAAAAAACAGTCAAATGATTGTTTATTATTATAGTTCAGTAGTGTAATACACAGCCGACAAGGATCTTAGGCATTCTTGTATTCACACACTCCTGTACACATCTACATGCCCATCTGCACACCGCTGTACACAACATACATTTATTTTTATTTTTTATTTCACCGTCCAATGGCAGAAGCCAATGCAAAGGAGGGGGCGTTAGCCAGCCATGACAAGAGAAGAAAAAAGAAAGAAAGAACGAAAGAAGATGAAAATCGGAAGAAAAGAATGCATCAGCGGTGTGAAATTTATCACTATGTTGACCATGGTGGAGAGCGGCGAGATAAGATAGCAAAAGAGGCGAGCGAGCCTACAACGTGGCATGACATTTAACATGGTCTATGAACTGTCTAATAATTATTTGTTATTATCTTCATTTCCATGGGCAGCTTGAGCCAATACGTGTATGCAGAGAAGATAAGAGATTTGGTAAATATAGTTGACAAAGCTCTGGGAAGTACTATGTCATTGCGAGTGTCCTGTGCGAAAGTAAACCAACTATTTTTGGTGAGATGTTCAGGGACAATGTTCAGTTTAATACGATAGACCAGAACGCATGACTGTCTGTGCGACAGGATGGAGATGAGGGTGGTGGAGGCCAAACTATATAGATCAGTAGACGGGAAAAGAGAAGGTTTACGCAAAATAATTTTCAACGCACGTTTACGATGCATTTCTAGTGCCTGTACAGCAGATTTACTAAGCAGGGAATGCCAAGCAGTGGCGCCGTACAGAAAGATAGGAAGAAGGTAGCATTTATAAAAGAGACGAATACATTCTGGGGACAATTGGGAGCATTGAGTCATCAGGCAACCTACAGATTTGCCAACTTAGTTGCAGGCAAAACTACCTGAGAATTCCAGGACAACTGCGAATGAAATACAACGCTCAAATGCCTGTGCGCATCTACAATATTATTAGCCGAAACAAGTCCGGGAAGGGTAAATGTGGGAGGGTGGTCTAGTTGAGGGAGAAAGACTCTTTCTGTCTTCAAGATATTGGGTTCCAGACGCCATGACAACATCCATATATGAACAACATTGATTCCATTCTAAAGCTTCGTACACAGGTTTTCAATGTCAGCGTCAAACTGAATGAGGGCTGTGTCATCGGCAAGTAGTGATAAACCATCTATACAGTCAGGTAGATCGTTTATACACAACAAGAGTAGTAGAGGCCCCAGTATAGATCCCTGGGGGAATCCCGACTTCACAGGCAGCGGGTCTGAGAGTACCCCTTCGACTGACACCGCTTGCATTCTATCTGTTAGGTAGTCCGTAATCCACACCAGAGACGTTCCAGAAACCTTGTACATTGCAGATAATTTAGCTAGGAGTCCACTGAACTATACCGTGTCAAACGCCTTTGCAAGGTCGAAAAAACACATACCAAAATGTTGGTGGTCATGACGAAGGGTCACAATGTCCTGCAGAAGGCGTGTCAGCTTGCATGGTTGGTCATTCATATGCTCCCTGCTGATCTTTGCCCTGCAGACCTTCAGGTATGGTTACTGCACTGCTGACTTATATCATCGTGTTCACCCTGTGCCATTCAATCTTCCCCTGTCATTAGTAATTGCTGTATTGCACTGCAAGCCTTTCTTCTCTCACCCCTATTCCCTCCTTTGGTAAGATCAGCTACACCCCAGTGTCTTTGCGTGCTGCCTACCCTCTTAGTCTAGTCTGGCTCTTCCACTCTCCCGGCACGGTCTCCTAATGTTAATGGGGAAGTGCATCGATTTTTGTATACTCACGTTGCCATAGCGACCAGCGCAGTGATGACGTACGAAAGGCTTAGCTCCACCAAAGAGAAGGTCGATCACTGCAGAATTTGGTCATTTTCAATTGGTTTATTGTATTCACGAAGTGAAAGAAGGGCTGTGTTCAATGCTGTAAGTGCAGTGAACTGTTTGTTAGTAGTTCTATTGGTTGTGTACTGGGACGTGACACCGACAGGAGAGAGCTGGAGCGCGGAGACACCAGCAGACAAGCGAAAATAGTGACGAACAAAATGCTGAAATATTGGTTGGGACAAATAAGACGTTCAGCTTTTCCCCCCAACCAAGGACCATGCCGTTTGCTCTTTCCACTTCCTGAAGATGAATGTGATGCTTCCTGGCGACTCTCCTATCTCTCGTAACATCTTCTGAAGCCAGGTGAGACGACGGGTGGTGGAGATTGACGAATGAAATAATGTCGTAGGTTTGAAAGTTTGCTGAAAATGTCTCAAAAGAGACGGCGAATTCCAAGCATCTTGTCCTGGAGGAAACCATTTCCTAGGCACAGTCAGCCTACAGTCCATTTCAAAACTATAGACGCGTAGGGGTTTTGAAATATTTCAAATTTGGCTGGAACTGTTTGAGAATAGTTTTCGGAATATTGCTCAGGACCGCTACACAATTACTCTCATATAGTTTCTAAACGATTAGATAACAGCCGCCCAATTTGGAAAAAATATGCACAAAGTGATCACAGTTTTTATGTGGTATAGATGCTGGCATAACGGTTTTTGCCTAGGTACGCGTGTATAGTTTTGAAATGGACTGTAGGGAAAAGCATGAGAAAGGCGACAAATAGTTCACGGCACTAACAGCATTGAACACAGCACTTCTTTCACATCGTGAATACAATAAGACAATTGAAAATGACCAATTTATGCGGTGATCGACCTTCTCTAGGAGGAGCTAAGCCTTTCGTATGTCATCACTCCGCTGGTCGCTATGGCAACGTGAGCATACAATTGGCGATTTGGCAAGTTTGGCTTATCGTATGGAGACGAGAGATATGCCATTCGAACCGAAATCAAATTGTCTTTCTTCTGGACCCTACACGAAAAATCGATGCACTTCCCCTTTAAGTATCCAGCCTTCCTGTAATCATATATCCCTAAACCTCTTTTTTATTATACCCCCCCCCCCCCGGCCCCTTCTAGATTTTCAGTAAAAATATACAAATATAAGTATTCCCAACTCCTGGTTTGTAACTGCGTGTTTACCGGTACGATGTCACAACCCTAACTACATTGGTGCCTAACGTTTGCTCTATCACAACCCTGATCACGTCACGACCTAAGTTGCCTGGGTACCTATGGCAATGTATGGAAGCCAAGCATGAATGTACCCAGGCCAGTGAATAATACTAGAAAGTTAGGATCAGGTGCGGGAGAGTGCGAGGTCTAATGGTCCAAGCGGCAAGGGGCGGGGGAGGTTGCTACACTCAGTAGCCATTACACATATCAAATATTCCAAACAATTTAAGACGGAGCGACTGTTGCAATTTTCAACAGCCAAATGTCACCATTCACAATTTCATGAATTGTTATAGTGCGGTGACAAAAAGGAGAAAGAGATATATGACAAGAGCATAAAAGGCCCAATATGGGCAAGCATTCTTGCACACTTACGTGAACACGCTGGTGCTGTAGACCAATTGAGATCTGATTGGCAAGTTATAGTGCTCATCCCCGAGAGTGCAAATCCTTCATTACACCTGACAAAAGCAGTGCTGCCTCGAATAAGTGGTGCTTGACCAGGTTGGACATTTCCGTTCAAAATGGACGGAAGAGCATTGCAGTTGATGCCTAATGTGAGTATTGGAGAAAAGTAGAATAAGATATTGTTGCACATATTTCATTGTAGAAAGGAAAAGGACATATGGATACGAGTTGGGAGTAACTCTCCATCACTGTAACTGGATTTTATATACAGTCAGAAAGTGCAATAACTAGGAACAAAACTGACAAGAGTACTGAGAAATTCGACGTCCTGACACGTAGCTTCAACACATCTCCGTACCGCTAACCGACAGCCTTCCAACTTGGAAGGTTCAAGGTTATGGAAAGACCAAAGAGGGGAAGACAAGCGCAACGAAAACGAGCAAAAGCCACAGTCCCAACGGAACACAGAATGTCGATTGTTACAGGACGTCGAATGTCTCAGTACTCTTGTCAGTTTTGTGCCTAGTTATTGCACTTTCTGGCTGTATATAGTATCCAGTTACAGTTATGGAGAGTTACGCTCAACTCGTATCCGTATGTCCTTTTCCTTTCTACATTTATTTATGGCTCAACATCCGAGTTACATATTTCATTGATAATAATTATACTGACTAAATCCCCCTACCAACATACCTGTATTGAATTCTGACATAGCCAGCAATCGCATGGCATCACGTACATTGAAAATCAAGATATTTTTGGGAATCAACCTTTATTTCAGCATAACTTTTCAACGAGGACGAAGCAAAGTTGGCCGAACGAATTCCAGAGGAAGAAAACCACCCTGTCCACTTCACCTTTACAATACTGACATAGTTATGAGACGAAGCAACTAAAAAATCAACAAGAAGACTGAACCCCCACCGCTGCGCTGACTTTGGTGTGAACAATTTCTACTACCATCAAAATGTAAGAGGAGCACTCAAAAATCAGCTACAGACCTTGGTCGCTCCTTCCTCCTTTTCAGGGCACAAAAGTTGACTGCCCACTTGCAAACCAGGAACAAGACATACTAGTGGTCCTTTTCAGCTGCTCCACGAGCGCAGGTAATGTTCACCAAGGCCAGCAGAGCAGCATTCATTCCAGAAAACAGCAAAAATTTAAGGGAAGCTGCATGCTTGAGTCCATGAATACATGAGTACAGTCATGCAGAAAATAGTCAATTTCAGTGTTTCTGCTCCAAACAGCCACAAAATTTGAATAGCTACAAATACTACCTCAAATGATCAAGCAACAACCATTTTCTTAAGTTCTTGTTCGGCAGAAGGCTTCTCCTTGTGCTTGGCCCAGGCCAAAAATCACACATCGGTTGAGTACAATAATTACTACTCCCAGTTGTTCTCAATTGCTGGCCATGATGATTAAGCTGACTATGAATACCATTGGAGACTGGAATGTTTCACGATGATTTGGAAACTTACTGCTACAAGTTGGTGCCGGTCCAGACCATTGGCCCGTCGAAAGGCAGATGGAATTTGTTTCGCCAACCAATTCATACCCTGAGTTGCAAGAATATGTCGATACACTAAATACTGAGATAGTTGATGTGTTGACACGCCCGTTGGTGGGATTTGCTAACGGTCCTGAGCATTGTATTCCTGCAGAAAGCAAAGATTTCGCCGTCATATTGTGAGAGCTTGGACAATCCACTTGTCCAGGCAAGAAGGCAGCAATGCCTCTTCATTCCGGCGAAGTATAATAAAATGTACCAACCAGACCCCAAATTGCTTGGTTAGATGTCAAAATCGCTTTACAAATAAATATCTGACATGTGATGGATCAGACGTACCGGTTTTCATTTACAAGAACGGCATTAGATCTGACAAGCTTTTTTCCCCAAAAATACTGAAGTTTGTTTTGTCATCCATTATTTAGCAGCAATTCTGCATACGGAGCATCAGTGTGCAAGCTAGGATGAGGAACAGCTATATATACAGCCAGCTATGCAGAGCAGGAATTGTGTGTTAACGATAGGGTGTAGTGCTGGTCCAAGTCCTGAAAATCGCACTGAATGATAGGGCTAAACAATTAATCCTGTATGTGAAATGCAGCACGATGTGTTCTTTTCATTATCCACACTATTATTGCAACTTATTTGAGTGTCAACACAATAGGAAAAAAACTGGTGGTCCGGATCATTTTTCACAGTAGACATATTACAATTCGTGTACCTTAGCTTCAAAACAGTGACCACCCTGCCTTCTAAAAGTAGGGCCTGACCTTCGAATCTCAAGTCGAACTGGAGTCGCCCTATACCATGCACTGGCGATAACTGACAGGGAAGAGAGAATGCTGTCAACAACAGCTAGTCTCTCCCTGGCATGCTTAGACCTCTTCTGGCTACTCCACAGCTTTTCTTTTGTGCGCCGGCGGGCCTGTCCATTATGCCCCGTCAATCTTGCCGTGATATTTTTGGCAGACCGGAGGTTGCAGACCTCGAACCGCCACCGATAGACCTCGTGATACACCTGCAAGAACATCTGTGTTGCACTCAGCCATATGCCCAATACAGACCTCACCTCATTGAAGTTAAGCAGGTGAATCTATACGAATTAACTCACCAACACATTGAGGTGTGACAGTAGACCAAGTTCCACCTGATAAACACACAGATGCTGAATTGCCGACGAGATTGAACCCAGTGTTACAAGTGAATCTTCGCAAGGTAAAAACCTCACTATTACCAGGTGATATGGCTCCGTTCGTGGGTGCATTAAGGATAGGGCACTCCACTCCTACAAGGAACACAGGAGAAATTGAGACCTGGAGCTGGAGTGAGCAACTTAACCTAATGCTATTCTTCATGAGCACTAAATTATGCCATGCTAATAGAGCCTAGGCATGATTCAGGTTGGCACAAAAACGTCCCATGACATTCCGAGTTTCAAGTAAACGTGAAATACAGACAGCATCATCTGGCATTGTCGCTCATGCAGGTGCCGAATGACCGTTTGTTATTCCACATATTCTTGATGAGAGGAGATGAAATAGCAAGGCGTTTTTAGCATTCACCATTTATAACTTGAAAGTTAACCCTTTGCATCCTGAGTACGAGTTAACTCGCGCTTTTGAAGTGTGCTGATCCACTACGTACGAGTTAACTCGCAAATAAATTCGCGCGACACATCACAGTGCATAGATTAGTTTCTAAACTATCGTAACTCGGTCAAACATCAACGTCAAACATCAACGTATCGACGATCAATACACCATTGGAAAGGTTTTGCCCTCATCTTTCCGGGGATATGAAGTTCTTCGCGATAGGATAAAGATTAAAAAAAAAATGAGTGGCGACAAAATGAATACGGAAATCAGGGCCCAGAGTGAACGAGATTTTTTTGTTCATGATTTTGCAGTTTTGGAGACAGTCAGGGGGTCTCTTTGGCACAATGCATGCGTGAAGGACATCAAATGAAGCGCTTGGATTCCAGCTTTGCAGCGCAGTTTGAATCGTGAAAATCGGTTGAATTTGGACAAGAAGCCGAACAAGAATGTGGAATAGAGTTGTTGTGCCGTTCAGAGGCACGGTGAAGTAGTTTTGAGAGGAGTTGGAAATGGCCCTGATGTGTCTATGGAGCGGAGAGTTGCCAGGATGGATTCGCTTGGTCCTGATCTTTCCAACGAGCCCAGGATGATTAAATCCATCAAGGTGGAGTGAAACAAGAATACAATTCGTTCGAAGCTGTGAGAGCAAATCCAACCAAGAGAATCAGTGCGGTGAAAAGCCTGTGGATTGGTGAAAATGTGCTCAGGATGCAAAGAGTTAAGGCTACACGCACCTCCAGAATGCTGTTACATAGCAGCAGAGTTCTTTAAGTCTCCTAGTAGCATTCATGAGCACTAGTAACCCACCAATCCCTCCCTTTGCTGTTGATGAACCAATCTATATTATTATTCTTTGTCTTTGAAAACCTGAGAAAGAAGGGCTGTCGCATGTGAATAAGTCTTCTGGCTTTGTTTCCTTAGTACATGCTTTGTTCCTTCGTTGATTCTGAATCTGTAACTGAAAGCGAAATACAAAAAATAAAATATCAGTCCCAAACATAATAGCTCTATTAAAACATATTCCTGCTTACGTTTACATGTAGGCGTTGGCGTCGACCAGGCACCAGTTGAGAGACAAATTGTATTTGAACTGCCTTGCAGCTGATAACCAGAATTGCAGGTATATTGTCTGGATATGAACACGTCATTAGCTCCAGTGACGATGGCTCCGTTAGCAGGTGTCGGAACAGTAATTGGACATTGTATACCTGCACCGAGAGAGGAGAGGATAGAGAGAGAGAGAGAAATAGAGAGAGAGAGAGAGAGAGAGAGAGAGGAGAGGATAGAGAAAGAGAGAGACAGAGAAATAGAGAGAGAGAGAGAGAGGAGAGGATAGAGAAAGAGAGAGAGAGAAATAGAGACAGAGAGAGAGAGAGAGAGAGAGAGAGAGAGAGATAGAGAGAGAGGGAGAGAGAGAGAGAAAGAGATTTAAAGAGAGAGACAGAGTGAGAGACAGAGTGAGAAACAGAGTGAGAGATTGAGTGAGAGAGAGAGGGATTTAAAGAGAGAGATTTAAAGAGAGAGATAGACAGAGACAGACAGAGACAGCGAGAGATGGATGGATAGAAAGAAAGAGGGAGAGAGAGATAGAGATAGTTGTATACTAAACACAGTGTACTTGGATATCAAATGTCCGATAATTCCCGCGATACTTCCCTGGTTGTTGGATGGTTTTCGTATTTCATCATCATGTAGCAATTGTTCAAGCAACATATTCTGGCTTTTTAAGTGTGGTCAAGTTTGGCCATTCTATTCTCGGATTAACGCATCCACATGTCTATTAAGCGTATGCTATTGATTGTGTAGCGTATAGCGTATTGCACATTGCACACTATTCCAAAAGTCCAAACAATGGGATATATCCGTATCACGCCATAGCACATACTGTGTTTAGCATGTTCTCCAGTGGCTAATTGGCACATCCCTGGAGGGGTATTTTGCATAACTCCGCTATCCCTTGGGCAAGTTCACCCATTGAAAAGTCTATCGGCACTATAATATTATTAGGTTAGTTGATCTATTAACAATGTTCAATAAATGGATGTTCCTTCTGGAAAGTGATTATATTTTAAAGGGAAAGTGCACCGATGTGAAATAAGTACTGTGTTCAATGTTGTTAGTGCCGTTAACTGTTTATTAGTAGTCCTCCCGGTTGTGTACTGAGACATGAAACTGATAGGAGAAGGCTGGGGTGCGGAGACATCAGCAGACAAGCAAAAAAGCGATGGACCAAGTGCAGAAATCTTGGTTGGGACAAATCAGACGTTCAGCATTTACCCCAACCAAGGACCATGCCATTTGTTCTTTCCACTTCCTGAAGATGGGTGGTATGCTTGCTGGCGACCCTCCTAACTCTCGTAACATCTTCTGAAGCCAAGTGAGACGACGGGTGGTGGAGATTGACGAACCACATGATGCCGTACCTTTTTTGAAAGTTTGCCGTAAATGTCTCCGAAGAGATTACGAATACCAAGCATGTTCCCCTGGAGGAACCATTTCATTGGCTACAGGCAGGCTCGGAAAATGCAGAAGAAGGGCGATAAACAGTTCACGGCACTAACAGCATTCAACACAGAACTTCTTTCACATCGAGAATATAATAGAACAATTGAAAATGACCAAATTCTGCAGTGAGCGACATTCTGTGTGTCAGAGCTAAGCAGATTACACATTATCACTGTGTTGGCCGCTAGGGCAATTTATATCACACGATTGGCGATTTGACGAGTTTGGCTAATCGTATGTAAGCGAGAGATATGCCACTCGGACCGATCTCCAATTGTCTTTCATATGAACCATACTTGAAAGATCAATGCACTTCCCCTTTTACCCCCACTATTTCCTGTGAACTATAGGTGGGGTTTATAGGGACGTTTAGCAATGCGAAAGTTCGAAAAAAATTCGGGTCCGGGAATGAGTACAGAAACAAAGGTTGAAACTTGCAGTGGTTTGCGAAAGTTTATTTCTCTTTCCTTAGTACGCATTTGACTGTGGGGAGTAGCAAATTTGCAGCCCCCTGCTGGAGACTGAGCAGCATATACGATACGGTACTTGAAATAACTACAAAAAGAAAAAGTCATTTCGCATTGCTAACCCTCAAAAGGTTTCCTTTTTCGAATTAAAGTTCGCGATATTTCATTCCACCAAAAGCTCGAACCTTCGTGTTGCTAAACCTCCCTCGTATCTCCATATTCACCACTTTAAATTGGGGTATATACGTGTAATGTTCTCCCGTTGTCCTTAGTACGTGTCGAGAGCACACCAAAATACCAACTCAACACGGTCTCGTTGTGAGGCAAAGAACCCTTTTCATTATCAGTGCAAGAACACAAATAGTAGGGAAAGAAACATAATACAGCAAGGCAGTCGTGGGTACTCCATATCTGGATCCAGTAGAGTACTTGAGGGTACACTACGGTGCATGACACATCTAGATATGGGATGAATCATGAAAGGGATACTGTAATGGATAGTCTAGATCTATAAAGAGAAGAGTACAAATAAGAGAAACAAGCATGCACAATGGGTACACACACACATACAAGATAACACTACATCTCCCCTTCTTCAAAAAGGAGAAAGAGCATAGCAGTGAAAGTTGGAAAGAGAAAGACAAGACGAGAAGACCAAATAATGCAAAACATTTATGTATAATCCTATCCCTCCCTTCCGCAAAAGAAGAAGAACACACACATACACACATACACGCATACGCATGAGAAAAGCGTAGAGAAGAGTAGAGCAACAGAGCAAGAGAGGAAAGAGGTAATGGTGATGCGAGTTCAGTGGTAGATCAGAGCAAGAGTTCAGTCAGGGAAACCATAACGATCAGGAGGCATCACTGTACGACCACTACGAGTAATGGTTGTGCCTGCTGATGTTGTACTGGATGTAGGAACGGCTGAGTGTGTAGAAGAGGTTGTGGACGAAGTGGTACTTGTTGTCGTAGGTTGTGGTGGACTCGGTGGTGTTGTATCTGGTGCTGAAGCTGCTTTCGGAACCTGCGCAACCGGAGGTGCGGACGGCAAAGCAACAATGTGTCGACGGTTGCGACGATATTCACCCGAGGGTGTAGACACAACGTATGAGCGAATGGCGGGTTGACGGAGTACTGTACCTGTCTCATGGCGATCCGTGAGATAGACTGGTTGCTCAGCTTGTAGAGGCGGCAGAGAACGAGTACGGTGCCGATCGTTGTAGGCCGGGCCTTGAGAGCTGCATCGGCGGCGGCAAAGTCATATGTCGAAATCAACTGAGGTTGCAGTTGCGAGCTGGACACGGGGACACGTGAATGGAGTTGTCTACCCATTAGGAGCTGTGCCGGACTGTAACCGGATTCCAGAGGAGTATTGCGATACGTGAGCAACGCACTGTACCAATCTAGAGAGGCAGTGAATAGATGCTTGACGGTTTTAACGGATCTTTCGGCGAGACCATTAGCCTGCGGATATAGCGGAGAACTGGTTACGTGCTGGAATGAGAACTCCTCCGCAAATCGACGGAACTCCTCAGACGCAAACTGTGGACCGTTGTCCGACATCAATGTCTCGGGAATACCGTGACGAGCAAAGATACTTTGCAGGTGCGTAATTACAGCCTTGGATGATGTTGACGTCAGCTGGACGACTTCTATGTAGCGAGAGTAGTAGTCTACCAGTAGGAGAAAGTCACGCGAACCAAAGTGGAACAGGTCAGCAGCTAGACGTTGCCATGGTAGATCAGGGAGTGTTGTTGGGATGAGCGGTTCAGCTGGTTGAGTGTGCATGCGGGCGCACGTCGAGCAATTTGCAACATACAGCTGAATATCCAAATTGATTGAGGGCCACCAGACAGAGTTGCGGACAAGACAGCGACACTTGGCTATGCCCTGGTGTCCAGTGTGGAGCCGTGACAGAATGTCGTCGCGATGAGATGCGGGAATGATCAACCTGTCGTTGTAGAGCAGCAGACCGTCATCGGTAAGTGTGATGGGTGCCCGGTGTTCTACGTATGGTCGAACGTCAGAAGGAGCGTCGGATGAGTGTGGCCAGCCGTCAGCGCAGTAGCGAGCAAGCGACTCACACACTTGATCAGACTCTTGCCACTCGGCGATGTCATCGAGGCGTTTAGCTGTTGCAGGCAGACAATCAACGGCGTAGTCGACGAGCACTGCTGTCTTAGCTGCGAGGAGATCAACATCTTGGCTGTCGACTTGTTCTGAAGAAACAGGTGCTCTGGAGAGAGCGTCAGCAATGGCGAGATCCTTGCCTGGCACGTGAACAATGCGGAAAATGAAACGAAGGAGCCTGAGACGGAAACGGACAATTCTAGGCGGTAGGTCGTCTAGAGCACGGCTGCCTAGAAGCGGGATGAGCGGCTTGTGGTCGGTCTGGATTGTAAACGGCTTGCCAAGTACGAAATGTTCGAAACGATCGCATGCCCAAGTAGAAGCAAGAGCCTCTTTCTCGATTTGAGAATAGCGGGTCTCAGCTGGTGTCAGAGAACGGGACTGATATGCAACTGGACGAATGGAGCCATCAGACTGCACCTGGAGGAGGACTGCTCCTAGGCCGAATGATGAGGCGTCTGCAGATATGATCGTATCCAGGGTAGTCGAGTACATCGCCAGTACTGGATGCGAGCTGAGGGCTGACTTGATCGCGTCGAATGCTGCTTGGTGCTCATCGGTCCAGGACCATTCCCGGCCTTTGACCAGGAGAGCACGCATTGGCTGAGACATCGTTGCCAGATCAGGTACGAACCTTCCCAGCTGATTCGCCATGCCGAGGAAACGACGTACTGCTGGGACATCCGTGCAGGGTTTGAGCTCCTGAACGCCGCACACTTTCTGGGGATCAGGGTGGATGCCGTTGTCGTCGAGGATGTGTCCCAGGAACTTGACTGAACGTTTGTGGAAAGCACACTTGTCTGGGTTGAGTGTGATTCCGGCTGATGAGAGACGCTGCAGGACTGCATGCAGATTCTTCTCCTCCTCGTGTTTGTCGTCACCGAAGGTTAGAACGTCGTCAATCATGCAGATTGTGCCTGGCAGATCGCTCAGCAGGTCAGACATCTGCTTCTGGAAGTGCTCAGGTGCAGAGGAGATGCCAAACGGGAGTCGTCGAAAGCAGAAACGACCGATGGGCGTAATGAATGTTGTTAGCAGTTGAGATTCCAGCGACAAGGGGATCTGGTGAAAGCCCTTGTTCGCGTCCAGCTTCGAGAAGAC